CCGGGGCGGCCAAGGGGGGGGGGAGGTGGGTAGCTTTCCAAGCACCCCCCCCTTTGCACGACAGGGGGGGAGGGGGGGGTAGCTTCCAGCAGAGCAGCGCCAAGGGAGGGGGGGGGTAGCTTAAGCACCCCCCCCCCTCTTTGGAAAGGGGGGGAGGGGGGGGGATAGCTTCCGGGGAGGGCCCAAGGGGGGAGGGGGGGGGTAGTTGTAAGCCCCCCCCCCCTGCAAAAAAAAGGGGGGAGGGGGGGGTGCTTCCAACAAGGGCGGCTCAAGGGAGGGGGGGGGTAGCTTAAGCCTAGCCCCCCTCCCCTTTGCTCGGGCCCTGCGGGCGCGCTCTCTCATACATACACGCATGCAGAAACACATACATACATATGTACATGCATGCATGCATGCATCTCTACGTTCTTACTTACAGACATACAAACGTGCAAACAAACATGTATATATAATTACATGTATACGCACATGCATACATCCATACGTCAACACATTACATTGCATTACAGCGCAGCGCAATACATCACACCCAATTACGTTACACCACGTAAGCTACGTTGCATTACAACGTATCACAGCACATTGCATTACACCACATACATACCTAACTACATACATGCATGCATACATACATGCATGCATACATACATACATACACACTTACATGTATACAAACGTACATAGCTACATACAGACCCACATACATACACACGTGCACCAACCTATACACACGTATAATCAAGCACATGAACACCTACATACATACACACATACATACGTGCACTCGTACAGCGATGCGTACATGCATACACACATATACATGCGTACATACAAACATAACTACCTGCACACATATATACATAAATACATGCCTACACACATTCATACCTAAACACAGGCATGCATACATTCATACGTGCATGCATGCTTGCATCCATGCATATAGCCATTAATGCACGCATGCAAACCTACACACATTACATACACGATATACATGCATACACACATGCACACGTACATTCATTCCGACATACATACATACATACACCCGTACATACATACACACATACACCAATCCATCCATCCATGCATGAATGTATACATACATACATAATCATGCAAACGTGCATGAGTGTGTACATACACACATGCATACATACATGCATACATACGTACACGCCTGCATGCCTACGTACATACACACATATATACACATACCGCATAGACCACCCTTCGGGTGATAAGGAGGCGAGGGGGGGACCACCGTCGCACTCGATCGATCTCACTATCGATCTCGCTATCGATCTCATTATCGATCTCATTCGATCAATCTCACAATCGATCTGGCTATCGATCTCACACTCGATCGCACTAACGATCTCACTATCGATATCACAATCGATCTCACAATAGATCTCACAATCGATCTGGCTATCGATCTCACGATCGATCTCACATTCGGTCTCACGATCGATCTCACTACCGATATCACTATCGATCTCATTCGATCGATCTCACAATCGATCTCACAATCGATCTCACATTCGGTCTCACTATCGATCTCACTATCGATATCACAATCGATCTCACAATCGATCTCACAATCGATCTGACTATCGATCTCACTATCGAACTATCGAAGTCATTCGACCTCTCGTTCGATCTCACTATCGATCTCTCTATCGATATCACAATCAATATCACAATCGATCTCACATTCGGTCTCACTATCGATCTCACTATCGAACTCACTATCGATCTCACTATCGATCTCACATTGGGTCTCACTATCGACCTCACTATCGATATCACAATCGATCTCACAATCGATCTCACATTCGGTCTCACTATCGATCTCACTACCGAACTCACCATCATCACCACCATCATCATCACCATCATCATCATCGTTGTCAACATCATCATCATCATCGACATCATCATCATCATCATCATCATCATCATCATCATCATCATCACCGACGGGACACCGACGGGACACCGGCGGGACACCGCGGGGCCCCGGCCGCCCGGAAGGGAATCATTTGGTCCGGCCGCGCCTCAGCCACACGGGACACCAGCGGGACACCGGCGGGACACCGCGGGGCCCCGGCCGCCCGGAAGGGAATCATTTGGTCCGGCCGCGCCTCAGCCACAGGAGACTTTCTCTCGCCCGCCCACGCAGCTTCGCCTCGCCCGCACGCACGGCACGCACGAACACGAAACCGAAATCGATTTCCCGGTAGGGGGGCTCTCCGTTCCACTTCGATCTCACCCCCTCACCTCCGATATATTTATATATGTATATATGTGTGTGTGTGCACTCGCACATACCTATATACACATACATACATACATACATACATACCTACCTACCTACCTACCTACCTACCTACATACATACATACATACATACATACATACATACATGCATACATACATACATACATACATACATACATACATACATACATGCATGCATGCATGCATGCATACATACATACATACATACATACATACGTACACACACATATATATATGTATACATACATACACACATGCAGGCATGCATGCACGCAAGCAAGCAAACAAGCATGCATCACACACCCTAAGCGTGACCCCCCAAATCCGTGGCCACTGGGGCCCGCTGGACGCCCCTGCAAGTCCCCCTTGGCTTTCCGAGACTCCTGGAAGCTCCTGCTGGGCCTAAGCAACGGGCCCAAATCTGTCATGAGGGTGGCCGAACGGCCCCGCGAGAGCTCCAAGAAGCCCCAGACACTCACACGACGCCCTAAGACGACCCAAAGAGGACCCCCCGAGGACATTCGAAGCGCGTAAAAACATTGATTTCCGATGGGTTGCTGTATGAATTATTGGGGATGCTCTGTTCTTCGGTCCTCCTGGCGTCCAAGATCGCCCAGGAGGCCCGAGAATCGCCCCTAAACTACCAAAAAGAGCTTCCAAGCAATCCAAGAAGGCCCCAAGACGGTGCCACAAGGCCCCAAGAGAGCGACATGGCGGCCCAAGGTGGTCCCAAGATGCTCCCCGAAGCATTCGAAAACGTGACCTGGTCGTGCAGGGAGACCGCGGTTAGAAGCAGCCTCCTCTAAAGAAGCCCCTGCAGGCCCCCAGAAGGCGCCCAGTAGGCATCCAGAAGGCACCAAGAACAAGAGGCTCTCCAAGCAGGAGCCTCCGCAAAAACAGCTGAGAAGGATTGGGAAGAATTCGCAGGGTAGGGCAAGGAAAAAGCAGAGGAAATATAAGAGAAGGATTGTTATTCACATGACGACGATGGCAGAAAACGCAACCATCAAGTTTCGCTAACATGCCAGTGCTACGTTCATACCATTCCGCCTGAGTGCCAAACCAAGGATCAGGGTGCATGGCGCCAATGCGGTCTATATCTATACGAATTTGCATGTACACATATATGTATATATATATATATACATATATATGTCTATATATAACATGTACGTACATATGTGTAGACAGAAAGACACACATATATGTATATATGCATATATATATGTGTTTATCTATATACATAGATGTATACACGCTACGTCTCAGAAGCACGGCCAGTGGCCATCTATTGTAATGACTCGTGACAATTGCATGCTGTAGTACACCTCCACATAACGGTTGTGGAGACAGACTGCTCCAGCCAGCCCGTAGCGCCCCCTACACCATCAGAACAACAACACATCATCTCGCTCAATGTGACCTGTTTGTTCTCCTCCATCTTCCGACAATACGTGCGCTGGACGGCCCAGTTCACTGCCATGGCGACAGAACATGAAAGAGAGCTGCTGGCATCTCAGGGTCGTAGAGGAGATGCTCCTGGGGACTTGCTCATGCGATGGAAACGACCCCGAGGGAACAGGAGACAAAATGGCACGACATACCAGACGTCGATCGCGCACGTTCATTCACAGAGTGTTCGCGAGGCGTTTCTCAAGCCACCTAGAAACCTAGAACAAGGATGATGCGCAACAAGGCGTACCATGTTTTATGCAGCGGCGAATAAGGGATGGCATTCATGCAGCCTGCAAGCGTGGAGGGAAAGAGGATGTGGAGAGGGGGAAGACGATGGGAAGGGGAAGCAGCCCATTTCCCAAATATTCGGGGTAACGCCCGGGACTGTCCCCGCCCCATCCCCCGCACCCCCTGCAGGGTCGCGTCACGATTCGTGCTGGCGCGGAAGTTAGACACCTCGTGGGCATTCCCAGACAGCACCAGCGCGAATCGCGACGTGACTGGCCCCCATCCCCCCTTCCCCAATCAAGCCGTTATCGCCAGGGGATGGAAAGAAACTATCTCAAGGGGGGCAAGAGAGGGGAAAGGGAGCGAGGGAGGGGAGAGGGGGGCGCGGGACGAGGGTAGGAGAGGGGTGGAGGAGATGCACGGAGAGGGTAGAGGGGAGAGGGGAGAGAGAGAGAGAGAGAGAGAGAGAGAGAGCGGGCGAGGGACGGAGAGGGCGGAGCGAGGGAGGGGAGATGGGCGCCGCGGGGCAGAGGGGCGGCCAGCGCAGCGACGGGACGTCATCGTGCTGGATGGTGTTCGACCAAGCGTCTACCGTGGCTCCATCAGGGGGTGGACAGAGCCCCCTCTTGCAAAACGCCTCATGGGTGCATGCTGCCAGGGGCACTCCACGTGCGCACGGAACCGCATCCCGAGTGCACCCCACGGGGGTAGCGAATCAACGCCCAAAATCAGCCGAATGTACCGGGCGAAACGCACGTCGATTAACGAAGCCGACTGGGACTGGACAAGCACACTCGACTTTCAATGCAGACTTCCTGAGTCGCCTTGTCTGGGGGGCCGTCCTGTCAATGCCCGAGTTCCAACCTCGCTCACCAGGTCTGGGCACCTCAGAAGGCTTCTTGGAGCCTCTCGACGGTACTTTCGGGGCCGCGGGGAGGGGGGGGATCTTGGCCGCATTCTTGATGCACTTATTTGGGCGTCGTGAGAACGCCTGCGGGATGTCTCGATGCCTTTTGGGCGCGTTCTCTTGCTGTCTTTTTTTACGTGAGAGCAACAGCGCCGCAGCGCCTTCCAGCAACCTGGTATGTAGTCTGGAAGCCCGCCATCATAAAAAAAGAATGGTTAACGCGCCTTCCGGCTGCCTGATATACAAGCCGGTGGCCAGCAACAGAACGGATGACCAGCCTGGTCATGTGCTCAACCGACTGACCTCAATGACCAGTGGACGACGCTTACGTAACGCTTGGGCAATCCGAGCGAAGAGGACGATGTGGGTGATGTACTTGAGTATATTGGATGGTATGAGAAGGTAAAGCCGGCCGCCGATGTCTCAGCTGGCCCTACTCAGGCTTTGCCTAATCAGGAGGGGCCCACGATCACCTCCTTCGGGCACTTCGCATAGCCGGCGCAGTTCACTCCGCTCTGCGCGCTGGCCGACGCGGCGATCGCAGACGGGAGGTCGGCTGTCTCGCGCGGCTGCGGCGGGTTTCTCCCTGCTCCACCCCCGGTGCCCAGCGGCATCAACATCTTCGGGCACCAGCAATACCCTCCGCTCGAGCAACTCCCGGCGCTGCACCCACCTCCGTCACCGGCAAACGTCTTGCACTCGAGGCATGCCGCGGCGAAAGAGGGGTGAAATGACTTGTTGAGCTTCGCGTGCTGGTGCGACAAGGCGACTGCCTGGGGACACACTGCGGCAGCGAGCAAGACGGCGGACAACCAAGAACTCGCCATGAACGTCGGAACTGCCTTGGAAGGAAGTGGGGAAAACAAGGTTCGGTCACCTGGTGCCGCAACTTGAGCCAAAATGGCTACGAGGTTCCCTGGCCGTCTTTGGGGTCATGGGGCCGTCTAGGAGTCTTGGGGCCGCCTGGGGGCAAGGTTGTTTGCGATCTTGCGACCGCCTCGGGGGGTCCTCGAGCCACCGTCGGACTGTCCTGGGGCCGTCTTCTTGGGCCGTCTCAGGGCTTCTGGGGACCTGCTGCGCCTAGGCGGCCCACTTGAGCCCCCTCGTCCAAGTCGAACCAGCCCTGCATGGTCCTGTTAGCCTCGGGTCCGACGGAGCAGTGGGGCCCTTCGAGAAAGGCAGGGCGTATGGCAAATCGCTTTGCACGGATTGAACATCTATATATATATATATATAGAGACATATACATATACACTAGACAATAGATTAATTAGTCTCGTCCACAAGAAACGGAATGCGGCTCCACTTGGCTTCGGGATTATATACGCTAAGCCGCTTCGGAAGACTGCGCATTGCACACGACGTGGGAACGGAGAGATGATTGCGATGATAACCAAGCTTGGGCGACTTCCTCGCAGACAGCGCGATGGCGAGGGACTGAAGAGATATACCAAGTGGGCTGTGTGAGGGTACGAACTGGCTGTACACAAGAGCAAGCTCCCTGGACTGTGCAATGGGAAACCTACTCGACCCGCCTCGACGGTTAAAACTGAACCTGCGACCTATAATTCCAAAATGCGACAACGCACCGAAGAGTCTGGAGAAGAGGTGAGCACCGCATCCCATGTGACAGGCCTCGCTCTGCTCTCTGTCGAACTGCTCACATCTGCTCGGTGATAGTCATACGGGATACTCAAGGAAATCAGCCGTCTCACGTGAAATCGAAGGCTTCAGCAAATTAGGTCTTTTCGCACATCTGGGGCATCTGCGTACTTGAGAGCCTTGCCACGAGCCCATCCAAAACCCATGACATTCTTATGAGGCCAATGGCTCGTCGTCGCTTTGATATCGTAAGCCTGACGTCGTTGCGTCAGTATTCGAGGTGACGCAAAGTGTTTGGGTGTCATGCAAACGTAGACGACAGCTCGGAGCAACTTGCTCGTAGCCACGTCCCCTTTCTCGGGGAGTGTGGCAGCGTTGTCCTCTTCCTCCACGAAACCCGGTGTGCTTGCATGAAGAGTGCGGCTGTCCCACAGGATCACGTCGCCGGCCTGGGTAACTACGAGTCTGGGTGGCTCCAGCCCGCTGTCTTCGCGAGAAAGACGATCGGCAGGCGGCTCAACATAATCGACAAGCTGGTCATCGGCAAACTCGTCCACGATCTCCTTATGCAGTAAATGACTCTTCGGCACGACCTGAAAGCCGCCAGTGCGCGCGTTCTGCTCATACAGGGAGACCAGCCCTTGTACACAGCACATTTGCCCAGCAGTGCTTCGACCCTGGTCCACATGCAACCAACCTCCTCGAGTGCGGTTTTTCAAAAATCCGACCGAGACTCCTCCCGTCGTGGAAACATGTCGCCAGGGCCGGAAGATCCCGATGCCGTCAAAAGACGTTATCAAATCGTCGGTGCCCCACAGTGTGGCAAATACTCTTTTGGTACGCTCGCGCAGAAACCAGGAAAGCTCTGATTGACCTGCGCCGCGCGAATTGACCAGCCCAATGTCTGGAGCCCGACCGCCGAGCTTTCGGAATACATCGTCGTCTTGCCAGCTGTAGACGTCATGACGTTTCCACTGTCCCTCTGTGGCCTCCTCGAGAAACTCCCACAACAGATCCTCAGAATAATCGCAATCCGACGGAGTCAACACCCCGCTGAGAACGACAAAACCTTCCGTCCACAAGTGTGACAACCACCCCTCCGCGTCAGCAACGTCGAAACGGTGCCGGGAAGTCACCCCGGATATCGCCTCCGTGGCGGAAGAAGACCCATCTTGAGTTGAAGAGACGTGAATGCCCGCTAATTGCCCCAGACATCTGCCGACCCCGCCTGCCAGGGGTGAAAAGGCGTGTGAGACATTTGAACGGCGATCAAAAACGGGTCTCACGCGAGATGACATAGCGACCTCACGCCGCGGCTTACGCGGGCCGCCAGCGCGGCACGCCACATTGGAGACGAGGGCGCTTACGCGCGACCTTACGCGGGCAACATACGCGCGAATGTCGGCGCAAACGACCCCGTTTTTTTGCATCGCTCATTGGGCTGTCCCATCCCCCTTTCCCGTCCCCTGGGGTTCAGCATCGTATTTGGAGGGGGGGGCACGAGCTCACCAACGCACCCCCAGGGCCCTCTCAGCCTTCCAATCCACGCTCCGTGGCCGCCAAGAGGCCCCAAATGCCTTCCGATATGACTTCATAAGGGCTGCAAGCCAGAGCGGCCTCCAGAACACCCGAAACAGACTTACGAAGGCACCAAGAGGACCCCAACAGGGCCTCCGAAGTCAAAACCCATTGATTTCCCGTAGAATGAATACATGACTTGCGCGATCTGTCTTTTTCGGGCCTATGAGCATCCAAGACAGGCCGAGAGGCCCACCAGACTGGCCCAAGACGCCCCCAAGGGGGCCCGGAGACGGCCAAGGAGCCGAGAGGGCCCGACAACAGCCCAAGAAGCGCACCCAGGATAGAAACGAGAGGCCTCCGGGAGGGCACCAAGAGGAGCCCAAGAGGGGAAACCTTTGAGGGAGCCCGGGAGCCCTCCCCCACAAGATGGCCCCCAAAACCCTCAACTCGGCGGCGAGCCCAAGGGGGCGAAGGTGAGAAGGGACGGGCCATCTCAGAAGGCTCGGAGGTCCCCCGGCCTTCTGAGAAGTTTCCTTACGCCCTTCCCCGGAGATGCCAACAAAGATCACTCAGAAGGCCCGAGGGGCTTCTGAGAAGTCACGCCGCCTTCTGAAAAGGCCTTCTCCTTCTCGGCTCGCCGCCGATCAACATGCCCCCAAAATACTCCCACGGAGCCCACAGGGAGCCTCCCAGAAGCCCCAGGAGCCCCGAGGCCGCCCCCCTCGGCCTCGAGGCCCCCCCGAAGAAGCCTCGCAGGACAGACGCGGAGGCAGAGGAGGCCGAACCAGCAGCAACCACACGCAGACTGCCTCGCAATCGCTCGTGCGTCCCTTCCCCGTGTGTTCTGTCGGCTTCGTGCGTGTATTTTTCGCAAGATGGCCCCACATGCTTCTCGATGGTCCTTGCCGGGAAAACATGCACACGTCCGAGCGATGCCAAGCTGCTCGACGGGAAGCGGCAAAAAGGCATATGACACCGGGAGCCAAACATCTCTCCTTCTGGGGGTCGGCGGAATGGAGTAACCAAGCCTTCCAAATGATATAGAAATTCTCGCAAAGAACGAGTGGACGGAATCTCGGAACTTGTTGACGACGAGCATGACGTAATACATAGGATGCAGACTCGCGAATAGGGGTCAGGGAGATGAGAGTACCCTGTGAAGGGGCGCACAAAGTCAGCAATGCGCTACGACCGTTCCCGTGGCACCTGAGCCGCTTGATGTGAGGGCCGGTATGGCTAGTGATGACACGCGTCAGATGATGGGACAGACCTGAGAAAGAGAGAGGGATAGTGAAAGAGAGAGATAGAGAGAGAGAGAGAGAGAGCGAGAGCGAACAGGGATAGAGAGAGAGAGAGAGAAACAGAGAGAGAGAGAGAGGGAGAAAGAGATAGGGAGAGGACTAGAGAGAGAGAAAGGGACAACAACTGACAAGGTCGGGAAACAAATAACAACAGCAGCACCAACAACAATAACACCAACAATCATTTTAAGACTGGTCGCTCCGATCTGCCCGCGTGCCATTCAACACGTATATACTATACCAAACCCTCGGTACCCGCCCTCTTCGTCGTCGATCGTACCCCCTCTTGGGGGTATCCTCCTTACCTGCCACGTGCATGTAGCGCAGCCCCTGCAACAGGAGAATCGAATGGAGGGGAGCGGGAGCAGGATGAAGCACACGAGAAATCAACAGGAGGATGGCTAAGAGCAGAAAATACCGGAAGAACCAGACGGACAAATCGGGAGGGCAGACCCTGGCGTGCGGGTCGGAAGGCGGGCCCAGGCGGCTAGGTCGAGCAGGCGGGATGCTGAAGCGTGAGTACTACATGAATCGCGAGGAGAGCAGAGGAGCGATAGCGCGATTTTCAAGTAAATCGTGAGATTAGCCAAAGCGAGAGCGTGATTCCAGGGTATCGAGGGCGCGGCATCTGAATAAATTGCTAGGAACTCCCACGCGAGATCGCGATTCCTGCATACGCTGTGAAGCAACCCCGCGCGAAAGCGCGATTTTGAGATAACTCATGAAGAACATATGGCGGGAGCTCTTGTTGTTGTAGTTCGGGGCCCAGCAACGCAGTTTGAGCAGAAAGACTATCCCTGTTGAACAACAGGGTGCGAGCCCCGATGGGGCACCTCAATTGAAAAAGCACAATGTGCACGGGTGGGGGGCATCAACAATCCACCGACCCTGTCGGCGTGTGGAAGATACATCTTCTCTGTCTCCCCTCTCCTTCATCTGGGCTCTCCCGCTCAAGCGCGCCACCCAAATCGAAGACAAAACAAAATTGAGCAATGTCGCAGCTGAGTCGAAGGCAAAACAACATGGAGCAACGTCGTAGCTGAGTCAAAGGGAAGCCCCTCCCCTTTGATCCCTTCCCCGGGGAGGGGGGTCCCAGGGGGGGTCCCGGAGGAGGGGTCCCCGGGGGTTCGCCACCGAGATACGCATCCCCCCAGGGCGGTTGTAAATTATACCATGTTCGCGCCCCCGAGACCACGATCCCTGGCAAATTGATCCAACTTCGCGCCGCCAAGGCCATCTTTGCAATATGCGCGTTTTCGAAGCCATAATTTCATGTAACTTACATAAAATGCGCGCCACAAAAGGCCACGATCCAATGTCAATTACACATGTTCGCGTCCTCGAAGCCACGACCCGTTTGTGAATTACGCTGCGCTCGCGCCCCGCAGCTACGATCCCTCGGAAATTACACGATGCTCGCGTCCCCAAACCAAACAAATTCGCGGTGCGAGCCGACAGAATCCGACAACTTTGCTGCGCAAGCCGTAACGTAGGATAATGGCCCTCGCATGAACTTCCGACTTAGCTCTGGCATGCCTCAGTCTAAGGAAGAGGGGGCCAACAACAGTGGGCGAAAACCCTTACGGACAACCGCCATCACACTTTCCGCAAGCCACGACCCGTGCCACGCACCCACGCAGAGAACATCATCGTACAGAACAAGGGCACGAACAAATCAACACCTTCAGCGTCGGCGGCTGGGCAGGGCACGCCCGCGCTGGCGGTGGGATGGCTAAGCGGGGACGCCACCAGAGCGAATTGTGCCACCATGCAAGAGGAGGATACGGGGGGAAGCCGCGTCCGAACAAGGGAGCGGACGGAGCGAGCGGCTCGAGGGGGGGCGGACCGCTCCACGAGCGAGCGGCGCGGCGGGCCCCGCAGGCGAGTCCGCGGCGGCTGCTGCGTCAGCGGGCCAGCGGCGGCGGGGCCCAGTGCAGGGATGGAGTATCCCGAGCAACAAGAGGGGCGTGACTCGCGGCGTGACCATCAACACCATAGCCAGATGGCTGCCCAACCTGGGAGTGGGTGCGGGCGGAGCCGCCGGGGCACCAGCACCAGGCCCAGGGCAGGCGCGGGGCTGGCGGCGAAGGGCGGCGGCCGCGTGCGTCGGGCAGCGCCCTGGCGGCGCAGGAGGGAGGGGGAGCAAACGAGGAGGGGAGAAGCGAACAGGGAGGAGAACGCCCCACTTATGGGCTCACAGGTGGGGCGGCAAGCGCCACGCCGGGTGGCGCGCACCAAGCGGCGGAGGGGCAGCCTGGGGAGAAAGTGGACACAAAGAGGCGGCGCGAGCCCGCGCGGTCGGCTTGGGGGAGCCTGGGTGGCTGGCGGGGCATGGCCAGGAAGGGGCAGCTGGCGCGAACGGCGAGCCCGTAAGGGCCCACACTGGGGCGAGAGCTGGTGGCCGCCAACCAGGTGCAGGGGAAAGAAGACGCGTGCGCCTCCCGGCGGGGTAGCGGGGGGCCGGGGCAGGAGGGAAGGAAGGGGACCACCGCCAGAAGCAGTAGCGCGGCACCGAACAGGTGCAGTTGAACGCGAGAGCGGGGAACCCTCGGCGACAAGCAAATAAACACCCGCTGTCCGCCCAGAGGGGCCAACCATGCAAGCGTCATCAAAAGATGTGCCAGGCACGCCTGGGAGGCGCGAGGCTTTTGAACATCCCCGCTCGAACGACGTCTTGCTTACATTGGTGCGCCCCCCCTGTCTTGCCTCTGGTCTCTCCTGGGGAAACCGAAGGGTACACATACCGCTGCTTCCCAGACCTCTCCTGGGGTGCGTTCTGGCCAGGATTCCGAAGCGAATCCAGCGGGGGCGGCGAGGGCCTCCCAGGAGGCCGCACACATGGGGAAAACGGGCGAAGGGTAGCGGTATGGGTACCTCTTCCTCCTTGGATATCCAGTCCCATCCGTCTGTGTATATATAGAGAGAGAGAGAGAGAGAGAGAAAGAGAGAGAAAGGGGGACAACAAAAGAACAGAAAACAAACAACAACAAAACACACACACACACACACACACACACACACACACACACACACACACACACACACACACACACACACACACACACACACACACACACACACACACACACACACACACACACACACACACACACACACACACACACACACACACACACACACACACACACACACACACACACACACACACACACACACACACAAAACACACACACACAAAACACACACACACACAAAAAAAAAGAAACGAGGGTCCACCGTCAGGGGCCCGCGGCAGGGGGGCCGCCAAAAAAACAGGGGACGCGTCGGGCTCACGGGCGGCCCTGGGCTGCTGCCCCAGGCGCTGCCGCGTGGACGTCACCCGGCGGTCCGAGATGCCTCCGGAGCGCCCTGCAGGGGCCCGCGAAGAAGGCCTCACGAGCCCAAGCATGCCGAAGGTGACCCCAACATGCCTCTGACGTGGCCCAGGAGGGCCCCTAAGACGCCCCGAGGGCGGCACCAAGTGAAACAGCACTGAGGTTGTGCCATGTGCTGATCGCCTGTCCCACGTCACGTTCCCTTCCCCAAGATCGCTTCGAGACGGCCCCCAGGGCCCCGCAGCTCTCGGCACTGCCCAAAACGGCACCAAGGCGGCCCCCCAAAGCCCCACGATGCCTTCGAGATCGCTTCGAGACGGCCACCGCAGCGATCGAGATTGCCCAGGACGGCACCAAGGCGGCCCCCCGAAGCCCCACGGTGCCATCCAGATCGCTTGGAGCTGACCACTAGAGCTCTCTAGATGGCCCCCAAAGCCCCAGCACTGCCCAAGACGGCCGATGGCCCAGAAGCTGCCCCAGGATGACCCTGAGAGGCCCGGCCCAGAAATGGCACAAATAGGCCCTGGAGCTGCCCAAATATCCGCCACCGTGCCGCAGGGAGCTTCCAGATACAGTCGGACCCAGGCCAGAAGAGTATTCTTCAAGAACGTGAGACCCTCCGTCGACCAAAACACACAGAACATCCAGGGGTACCCTCCCCAGGATGCACGGGAGCAAACAACGAACACGAAGAATATGGGGCGCCCTCACCACACCGACCTCGATCTTATACCTCGGTCCGACAGTACACCAGCTCCGAGCTCCCGTCCCTCATCTGCCGATCGTGAAACAGCAAATAACTGCATAAACATAAGCTGATGGAGGTCCGCGCTGGACCCCCCTCCCTGGGGCGCGGAGCGCGCCAGGGGCGGCGCCCGAGCCGCCGCCAGGGGGGGTCCAGCGCCGATCCAAGAAATCCGCGCGGAGCTCCGCAAGTGTATGTATGTGCAGTTGTATGTTCCTCGACCGAACGGGCCTCGCCTTGGAGGGACCGGAGATAATTTGTACATGCCGAGGCCCTTTGTGAAATAGTAAGCCACGGAAGCTCCCGATCGTCCTGCAATGACAATAGGCTGGCGAAGAGCATCCAGCTATTGAGCACCTTCTCCTCACCCTCCCTGTGGCCATCCTCGGTTTTGTTTGTTCGGTGGCAGGGCTAGGCCATGCGAATGCAACTACGGCAGCGGCAACAACAACTCGAGTTCATATCCGCATCGGCGCGAATGGCACCTGCATGCCATGTCTACCTTGAAGCTGACGCGGCCGGCAAAGTATACACACATTCCGCTGCGAGAAGCAACGAAAGAGGAAGGACGGCGAAGCGCGGCGACGCAAGGGAGGAGGGGAGAAAGCGGAAGGAAGGAGAAAGGGTCCGAGGCCTCACCCTCCCGCTCCTCCTCCTCCTCCTCCTCCTCCTCCTCCTCCTGATCCTTCCTCGCGGCAGGGTGGGAGGGCGGCTGGCGACCCCCCCCCCCTCCCCCCGCGCCCCCCCTCGGGTCCTGCTCGGGAGGCTCATGCTGTGACATGCGCGCCCCCCCCTGCGAGCGCGGCGGGCGGGCCAGGGGAGGGGGGAAAGCAGGGGGGGGGGGGGGGGGGACGGGG